CGCCCTAATTAATTTCTCATTCAATTCCTAACCACCAAACCACTATTATTCTCATGTCAAGTCTCAACCATGGTTAGTATTATATTGCTTCAAAAAAACTTATAATTCACCTTTTAACACGACAATAAAAATATTTGACTCCGTTACAGTCTAGAGACTTACATGTTTGGTATAATAGATGAAACATATACGAAGATCTCTAAACATTGCATTCCGCGAGTTCGACTTAAAAAAAGAAAATTTTCCTTTTAGTTTTCCATTTGGCTATCTTTTCACTCATATCTAAGAAGAGAATCTTGTCCTTTTTTTCTCTTTTTCTCTTTCTTTCTTTCTTTTTTCTTTTTTTTAAACTTTGTGAAGTGACTTACCCAAAGTTTATTCTAAGGGTCTGTTTGGTACAGATTCTCATTTTCTACAGTAAATCAATTCTCATTTTCAACCACACATTTTTCAATAAAATAATATTTTCCATCACATCAATATTTTTTCTTCTTTTTCAACCACACATTTCTCATCATATCACTATTCAAAAATCAATTCTTCCCCCAAAAATCCATACCAAACACACTCTAAAGCTAACAAAAATGAAGTGATGCTCTGTGCAAGTAAAATTTAAAGCACATGCCTTCATAAATTCTCTCTACGTGTGCCCTCTTATGGCAATGATCTATTATAGAGCTATAAATTAAAATAATTTAGTAGCTATAGGTGTTTAAATTATGTCAACTTATGAAGTTCGACCACGTTAGCACCTTGAAAAATTTAACTCCCTAAGACTTACTTAATTACGAAGTTATCAAAAGTATTTTTTAATTTATTTGAACTGTGTGTGTAAATTAAGCCACACTAAGGTGGCGAGCGCACATACTTAATCATCATCATAGCTGACTCATGTGTACCATCGATATTTAATTAAAAATATTAATCAATGCCAAATAGTAGAAATGATTTTTAAGCCTAACGATATAGTAAACTGAACAATTAAAATGTTCATATATTATAAACGATCAATCAATTTATCGATAATTAGGATGATGCAACTCTAAGATTTTTCTTGACAAGCTTGTTTGTAGCAAGTATGACACCTTTATTAAAATAATAATAATTAAA